GTACTCTCCTGTGGAAAAAACGGTGTTAGCCATCGTTTGGACCGTCAAGAAGTTGGGCCACTACTTTCAGGCTCACCCGGTTCAGGTCCTCACTCATCAACCACTCGGTGCCCTCATGAGGAGCCCCACTAGCTCCTCCCGCATGGTGAAATGGGCTATCTTCTTGAGCCAGTACAACATTAACATCCGTCCGAGGCCTGCCATCAAGGGCCAAGCCCTGGCGGACTTTGTGACAGAGTGTACCGCAAGGGCAGCCACGGACGGGGAGCCCTCGGCTGCCTCTGACGACTGGTGGACCCTCTACACCGACGGCTCCTCCGCGACCAAAGCAAGCCCCGTTATGAACATACAACAACGCCAAGAGGACTGGATCTCGGATATCATCACCTTCATCTCCACAGGGCAGCTACCCGAGAACGAGACCCGCGCTAAACTAGCAAAACTGAGGGCTCCTAACTATACCATCGAAGACGGAAGGCTCTACAAACGGTCTTACAACGGCACGCTACTTCGGTGCCTTCATCAGGATGAAGTCGAGGTCGCGATGGAGGAAGTGCACAGTGGCACCTGCTCAGCTCACCAGGGGCCCTTCTCCATGTCCCGAAGGCTCATTCTCGAGGGCTACTTCTGGCCAACCATGGCCAGAGATTGTGCTGACCTTGCCCGAAGGTGCACCGCATGCCAACATTTCCAGAAAGCCCCCGGCAGGCCAGCGGTCAACTATGCCCCCATCAGCACATCCGTCCCCTTCTCTCGATGGGGGATAGACCTTGTGGGCCCTCTGTCGAGGGGTACCTCCAACAACAGGTACAACATTGTGGCCATCGACTACTTTACCAAGTGGGTGGAGGCTGAGCCCCTCGCCAGTATCACAGAGGCGAAGTGCCGTCATTTTGTCCTCAAGAACATCCTCACAAGGTTTGGCGTCCCCCAGCAGATCATCTCCGACAACGGAACGCAATTTGAGGCAGCCCCCTTCTGTGCCCTTCTGGAGGCATGGGGCATCAAACACACCTTCTCCTCCGTTGCCTACCCTCAAGGCAACGGGCAAGTAGAAAACGCCAATCGGACCTTGCTCGAGGGCCTCAAAAAGTTTATTAACAATTGAAAGTTTATTAATGTATTTTAGCAACAAATAGTCTTGTACTCCGTACATAAAAAAGGCACATCTGCATATACACGTAAACTTTTGCCTTGTTGAGAGTCTGTCTGGTAACACTGAATCAGCCGATTGTGTTGAAATTTATGAAATTCTGGTTGAAGTGGCTGTATTTGTTGATTTTGGTAATCTTTGAAAAATATATATTAAAAATATTTTTTATTAATAAAATAAAGAAAAAATTATATGAAAAAAGCTAAAGTGGTCATCTATAGTAACTTCAGCCAATGCAGCCAAAACAAGTGACTTCAACCTTACTTATTTTGATTATTACATAATTCAGCGTGCGAAATCAAAAGTTACATGTTTGGTGAAAAAGTTGGCTGATAAGATTGCTAAGCTGAAAAACATGGTCACCAAACGGCCTCTGAATATGATTATTTTTAGAATAAAGTACAGACTATTAAATTCTCTCAGTTAACTTTTTTTTGTTTAACTTTGGTGTGTGTAGAACACCAAATGAGTTTGCAATTTATAATACTCCCTTCGTCCCTTAAAACCTTGTCATCTTTCTTTTTTGGGACGTCCCAAAAAACTTTGTCACTTTCCCTTTTAATTAATTATGTCGTGGTTTCTGTTATTTCTCTCTCCTCTGCACAAACCTCAATCACACAGTTTTTACTGTATTATTCTCCGTGTTGGTCAACTTTGGCAAAGTTTTAAGGGACAGAGGTAGTATCACATATAGAATTGTCGGCCCTAGGGAAACCCTAGAAGGTGAACTGTTGGACGAATCTAAACTCTTCTCCTGTTGGCAAGAGTTTTTTATGACAGCGCCACTCTTTAGCTAGTAAGGAATCAAAGATTTTCTTATGTAACCGCTCTCTTTTTATTTCTACCTTTTAGGGTTGTGGTTTTGGTCCGGCTTCTTCTTTAGTCGTGAGTTATGCCCGCTTCAGGTAAGTGTGAGATTTGTTCTTATCCTAGCAATTTCTAGAGGTTATGTGTTCCTCGTTTAATTCCAACTACAAGAGCAGATGAAATTTAGGCAGCGTAAGCCAGTATTATTATTCCGGAATATTCAATGATGACCACTAAGGAATTATATATGATTATATGACTCAGAATAGTCCATAGGAAAACGTATGAGATGTTAGCCATATTCGGGTTAGGATTATGGTAGGAATAGGTGGGGTAAAGACGTAGAGTGCCCTTGGATGGTAAATGATTCTAAATACTCCAGGTTGGGGGTAGAGTACCCTTGGACGGAAAATGATCATATATACTCCATGTTGGGGGTAGAGTACCCATTGGACGGTAAATGATCCTAAATACTCCATGTTGGGGTAGAGTACCCTTGGACGGTTAATGATGCTAAATACTCCAAGTTGGGGTTGAGTACCCTTGGACGGTAAATGATCCTAAAACACTCTGTAGTATATACGAATGTAAGATGTAGCTTGACAGCCAGGCATTCGGGGAAGGAATGAGAAAGATCGGGTAAATAATAATTCTCTAAAACACTCTTTAAATGAAAATGACTTTCAGGTTGAGTATTTTACAAGTATATACGGTATGTATCATCTTGTGGATGGGGTAACGGTAGTTACACTATAAATATATGTATCACCCTATTTTTTGGTCTTAAGTCTGAAACATTAGTTATTCCCCATATAGCCTGCATGTCACTAGTACTTCTTTCTGAGGAGTACCTTCGGGGGCCTCACTATTTTCAGGTTGAGGCTAGAGCCCTACCACCTCCACCTTTGCCTAGGGTGATTCTTCAATAAGGAAGACTTGGTTCGTGCTTCCTTTCTTATTTGAGATTATGGAATTGCTCATGGATATTTAAAAAATGTTTCCTATTAAATATTTGGGGGCCTGCGTGCTCATGTTTGCCATGTGTGGCTAAATATCAAACATATTATTATTTCTGCATTTCGTTTGATTATGATATTGATGTTGATTGTATGTGTTTATTAATCGGTTTGGCAATATAATCTATCAGACGCTTTGTATGATTCAATAGAGATGAAATACTGTTGTTCCTATTGGGTTGTACGACGGTTGTCGACGTGGCATGAACGCGGTTCGGGGTGTGACACAGCTGGCCATACGGTGAGCACCGTACAACCGGTGACATTTTGGTAATTTAAATGAAATTCGCGACTTCCGCTACATGAGCTTTTATGCACTTTTAGTAAGCATCAGACATATTGTGTTGAGTATTAGAAGCCTAACAATGAACATCATGATCTCTAGTTCATATCTTCTAATTCATTTTTTTTTCTTCTTATTTTTTCGTTTATAAAAACTTATTAGATTATATCTTTAATTAAATGTAATGTAATATGTTACTTTAATTTAGAAATATGCATTGATATGACATTTTTAAAACGAGCATTACACGAGTATCAATTGAACATATGTAACTTACAAAATGAGCATTGACATGAAAATAATAGGGCATGTTTTCTAAAAGAGATATTTTCCAGTTTTCCAGAAAACTGGAAAACTGGAAAAAGGAAAACAAAAAATGTGTTTACCAAAGAAAATTGCTGGAAAACTGGAGAAACGAAAACAGAAAACTGTGTTTACCAAATCGTTTTTCAAAAACAAAAAATGAGATATGTCTCTCTTTTCCTTAATGAATTGGAGAAATGACTTTTACTAGTTTTCCAAATTTGGAAAACACGAATGCTACAGTGCCGCTGCAATGAATTCACATACTTACGACCAGTGGTGGATCCGGTTCCGCTCTGATGTCATTGACCCGACAGCCTCTGTCTGGTCCGGTTGACGGCCGAGCAATCCCGATCCGGTCCAATCGATGACCTGACGATCCCGGTTTGGTCTGATCGATGATCCAGCGGTCCTTATCCGGTCCGGTCCACGACCTGGCGGTCCGTGTCCAGTCTGGTCAACGACCTGGCGGTCCATGTCCAGTCCGGTCATTGACCCAACGGTCCCTGTCCGGTCCGATCGACGACCGAGCAACCCCGGTCTAGTTCGGTGGACGACCCGGCGATCCCGGTCTTGTTCGATCGACAACACGACGGTCCTGATCCGACCCGGTTGATGATCCGTTGGTCTCGATCCGTTCCGGTCGACGACCCGGCGGTCCCTGTCCGGTCCGGTCCACGACCCTGCGACCTTTGTTCAGTTCAGTCCACAACCCGATGGTCCCTGTCCAGTCTGATCGATGACCTCGTGGTCTCTGTCTGGTCCAACCGATGACCCGACGGCCCCTGTCCGGTCCGATCGATGACTCGACGACCCTTGTCCAGTCCGATCCATGACCAGACGGTTCCCGTCCGGTTCAATTAACGATCTAGACTCCTGTATTTATAATCAATTCCTACGTGAATCTAATGTAATATGATACTTTTGGAATATGCATTGTCATAACATTTTAAAATGAACATAAATCTAGTACTAAATAAACATACAAAATTTATCAAATGAGCAATGATATGAAAATCATTAGCTTTGTTAGTTGAGCATCAAAACATTTTTTTGAACATCAAATATCCTCTATTGAATATTAGAAACATGCAATTGAGTATCATTACCTCTACTTCCATTATATAATTTAACTCAAATCTAATATGATAGTTTTGAAATATGAGTTAATATGACATTTTGAAATGAGTATAAACCAGTACAAGATGAACATAAGTAACTTACAAAATTCAAAAGCTTGTTTTGTTTGAATTCTCTAATCTGTTCAAATGTTCATTTGTGCATATTTATTTTACACTATACTCATTTTAGTTTAACACATAACTCATTTTAGTATAACACAAAATTCATGCTAGTAATTAACACACATGATGGAGTATATGGATCCAGACCTCAGGACCCACATACTCAGAAGACTAAGAGGAAACAAAACTGTCACCTGAAGGGTCCTCCATCGACTAGATGATCCTCGATCGGCCAAATCCGCATCAACTCAGAACATGAACCAGAAGCACTTACGATACATGATATGAATATCGGTGGCTCCACCTTCTCTCTAAAATCTATGGACTGAATGGAGTGCTTAGCCAAACTTTTTATCATGCTCAACCAGTTTGGGATAAGTATGCATATGCATTGATATCCTAGTACTGTTAATCAGTCCCTTTTTTTTGCTTAATAAAATTCTTCTTAAAAAAAAAAATCCTAGTACTATTCGGTATTCAATGAATCCTATCTGCCGACTTAAGAAAGTGATAGCCAATCAAATTAATTCAAACCAGATCAAACCAAACCAAAAAAGATCAGATCACATCAAATCAAAAAATTTCAATCGAATTAAAAACATATTTAACATAAAAGTGGTAAATGTTGATCGATAAAACTGATAAATAAAAAAACGTCACGAAATGGGCTCATGAATTTTTGTGGTCCACAACGTAAGCCCCTTTTGCAGTGCCACCCTGACAAAACCTATATATACCACAACTCAGATTCCTCAGCCATCTCTTCTCTGTTTACGGAGTTTTGTACAGGAAGCTTCAACGGGTTTGAACTTTGAATGCCAAATACCTGTATGGGCCATTGCTTTCCTCTCCAGCATTAGATTTCTTGCTATATGCTTCTTTTTCATATGCTTTATTCGTGGAATTAAATTACTTGTGAAAATCAGGCTAGTTTTTCAAGATCATATTCTTTTACAGTATGTTTTTTTGCAAATGTGATCTGAATTCGTTTACCAAGTCCAATATTTTAGTTTGGTTTTTCAATATAATGAAGAAAAATATATTTTAAACAACAAAAAATACAATGCTCAAATAAGAGTAAAAATGTAAAATCTCAAAAAGTAAGTATTGTATTTTTTTCATTATTATACGGAGTATAAGTCTAATCTAGTACGGAGTATTAGACTTGAGACTTTTTGGGGCTACTATAAAGTACTACCTGATAAACTTTTCCAAGTGCAAAGTAGGGGAGAAATAAGAATAATAAAAACTGTGTGTTTGAGATTTATACAGAGGAGAGAGAAGTGTTCAGAACTACAAATTAATTGCTTTAATAAAAAATAGCAAACTTTTTTGGGACAACCAAAAAAGAAAAGTTATCAAAATTCAATAATAATGTCGTCAATTTTTGGAGTTATATTATTATTAGCTAGGGCACTATCTTACTTAGGACGGAAAGTGTAGTTAATTTGTTCAATTATTACTTAGCTCCAATCATTCAATCTTCTTTTTTAACCATTAATATAATATTAGAATGTTTTAATCCATTCAATTTTTTTGATGATTTGTTGAATTCTTGGCACAAACTAGTCTGGTCTAATATATTTCTGATTTAGTACATGTTTGGTTCATTATATTTTATAATTGTCGAAATCTCATATGTAGTACTACCTCCGTTCCTATTATAACTTCCAAATATGTTTGACACACAATTTAAGATAATGAGTATTGTGTAGTGGAGAGTTGTGCAGATGAGAGAGAAATTTGTAAGAAATATTGTGAACAACAAATTCTTTACCAAAAAGGGAAAATGGAAGTTTTAATCGGAACGGACGAAAAAAGAAAATTGGAAGTTATAATAGGAACGGAGGGAGTATGATTTTTTAAGATCTATAGGCCTAATATTTTTAAGTCATTTTTTTTTTAATTCTAAGAATGTGACTGAAATAAGTCTGGCCTAAACATGCTAGCAGTTTACTTCATCGTCTTCCCGACCCCCCTTTCAAATAAAACAAACGAATGATACAGAAACTGAGAAAATCAGCCCCCCCCCAGAGTAAAATAAATGCATTGAAAACTTATATTTATACCAGTCGCAATATTTAAGATTGCTAATACATTTATACATTACTAATTACTAATAGAAAATTACTATAACAATCTCAACTTACGTTTTTGGTAGGATTTTATGAAGCCTGTAACAGTGATTCACGAATGGTTTCTGAAATCTGTTCTAGTCGTAGTGACATTAAAAATCTATGGAGAACACCATCCCCTGTAGCATCGCTGGATTGTATCCAATCTATCAATAGTGGAATCCGTGATCTATGGAAATCCAACGGTGCCACATGCATATTGCTTTTAAATTGTGTTAATGGGAGAATCAGCTATCTATTGTTCTGCTTCTTCACTCACATTTGGTTCTTCTTCTGTTTGAAAAGGTTTTTAGCATTGTTTCATCATTCAATGGAAAGCGAAACTAGACACAGTGACTCAGGTCATAACAGACTTGGTGGTCTCTTAAAAGATCAAGTGCGGTTGGTAAAGAGGAAGGATTGCGATCGATATGAGATTGTCAGTATTCCAGAGAATTTGTCATTCGAGAAAGGGTTCTTTATTGTGATTCGGGCATGCCAGGATTTGGCCCAAAAAAATGATGGAATTGTATTTGTGGGAGTAGCTGGCCCATCAGGTGCTGGAAAGACAGTATTTACTGAGCAGATACAGACCTTCATTCCAAGTGTTGCTGTTATTTCAATGGATAATTACAATGATGCCACACGAATCATTGATGGCAACTTTGATGGTAAAAACTCTTTCTCTTATATTGTACATAGGTCCTTATCTTATGATTCTTACTGCAATCCCTTGAGATCTCTTGAGTCATATTTACTAGGGCCAAATCTTCTTAGGGATCGTTTGGGTGCAGTGGTTTGGAGTAGAAAGCTTTGGATGACATTTCCGTACCTTGATAAATAAAATGTTTCTAAATAGGGGCCAGCATTTCGGTTTCAGTTTTCGGTTCATATGGAAGAATAATTACTAAATAAAAACCATTCTATGTTTCGATTTGGTTCAACTCGGTTGGTGTTTGTAATTTTGCTAGAAAATATTGAAGTTTTAATGTTTTTTTAAAATGTGGTTAGGTTTTTCCGGTTTCAGTTTAGTTTAATATGGTTTGGAAGAAATATTACCAAATTCAAACTGAATTAAGTATATTTTAGTTTTCAGTTTGGTTTGTCATGTCATTGTCACCACATGTTTTAATAAGAAGATGGAGTTTGACTGATGTATAGTAGCTATGGCAGGTAAAAAGAGACATAGAGAGTACACTGTTCAAGTTTTCTAGTTCTTGTTAGTGCTATATGTGTCCTTTTTGCCTTTCCTTTGCATGCTACATTGCTAGATGATGCATAAATAGGATAAGAAGGCGATGTCTTCAATTTATCCAATGTGTAACTTGTGGCAGACTATTATTTTGTATCTAATCTTTTGGGCTTACAGACCCTCGCTTAACGGACTATGATACACTGCTTAAAAACATCCATGATTTGAAGGCAGGAAAGCCAGTTGAGATTCCAATATATGATTTCAAATCTAGCTCCCGCATAGGATACAGGTTTGCTTCATTGTACTTTATACAGTAACTCTTCTTACAATGAATTAGGCTCATGATTTCCATCTTTGTAATGACATATGAACTACTTTGAATATTACTTTATGGAATATACTTGAGTGTTTTATAAATCTACAAATATTGAATGTGCAATGGTATCATCTGACGAATTTATGATTTTTGTTGTTCTGCTGCAGGTCACTTGAAGTCCCTAGCTCCCATATAGTGATTTTGGAGGGCATCTATGCTTTGAATGAGAAATTGCGCCCTTTTCTTGATCTTCGAGTATCAGTTACTGGTGGGGTCCATTTTGATCTAGTCAAACGAGTATTACGAGACATACATCGTTCCCGTAAAGAGCCTGAAGCGATTATTCAACAAATATCCGAAACTGTATGTTTTACGGTCCTTCAACTAAAGTGCTATGCTCCGTTTGTCACCAGTTCAGGCTTATTCTTCTTATTTGGCTGAAATTTACCAAATGCTCTTTCTTGGAAGCTAGTCCTTGCCTAGGCACTCGGATAGAATTATAGGAATAAGTAGCTTTTGTCACACTTTTCAGCCAAATAACCCTTACCAAAAGGGACCATGAACTAGTCATTGAATATTTAAGTTCTAAACTTTGACTGCTAACTTTATTTTGGCTTAACACCAATTGCAGGTTTATCCAATGTACAAGGCTTATATTGAGCCTGACCTACAAAAAGCACATATAAAAATAACCAACAAGTTTAATCCATTTAAGGGATTTCAGAGTCCTACATTTATTCTCAAGGTAACTGAGTACTTTCAAAGCTATCATTGCATCATAGTTATGAACTTGATTAATAACTGCCATTTAGAAGTTATTTGTTTAGAAGTTATTTAATCTTACTTCTGTTTGTTTTTAGTCTTCGAGGAATGTGACAGTTGATCAGATTAAGTCAGTATTGTCTGTGGAACACACGGAGAGTGTGGAAGAGATATGTGATATATATCTTCTGCCACCCGGTGAAGACCCAGAGACATGCCAATCATATCTGAGAATGAGAAACAAAGAAGGGAAATATAATCTCATGTTTGAGGTTAGCTTAGTCGTTCAGTGTAGCTGCTGCTTTATTAGAGTTTTTTTAAAACTCAAATGAAATCTAAAAGACCCATGTTTTGATGGCTAAGAAGATCAATGTTATTAATAGAATGTTCAAAAGACAAAAATAAAAAAATAAAAGTTAAATAGTCTTCACTATTGCACTCTCTCAGTACAGAAACACACTTACACTGTTGTGGTTATCAAATGGCTTCTAGGAAGTAAACGGTGTAATATATCTTCATCATTGTTTCTGTCTCACTTTCTCTGCTATTTTATGCGTGTATATAGGCCGTTCTATTTAGCCCTGCATTACTTTTGTCACTCCCTATATAATTATTTTCATTCTTTAGATTCAGTCCCAAAATTAACTGTATAAGTGGTTTAACACTCCAACAGAATATATTTGGAAAAAGTATGTAGCTAGAGTACATACATTGACAAGTTCAAATTTTTATGCTTGTGTAGCAATGGGTCACAGATTCTTCATTTGTAATATCACCGAGGATAACTTTTGAAGTTAGTGTCCGGCTTCTAGGTGGGTTGATGGCTTTGGGGTATACAATTGCAGCAATTCTGAAAAGGAACATCCAT